CTCCCAACTTCATCTCCCAGTTCACGCCCTCATTCAGCATCAACACTGCAGCTAAAGAGAGCTGCATATCAGGTACTTTCTGTGTTTTCTCATCTGATTCCTCTTGTTTCTTCCATCAAGAAATCATTCCCTTGAATCCAGCTCACTCCTCCATACCTAGACCACAGTGGACCTAATTCATGAGCCCTTCCCTGGGCCTTTCAGTAGAAATTAATTGCTCCCTCCTCCATGCTCCATCAGACTCTACAATTTCTCCACTATTGAATATGTACCATACTCCTCCTTGTTATTGGTGTATGCTTTAATCTCCTCACTAAATTGTCAGCTCTTTAAAAATGATTTCATCTCCGTATCTCTTCTCGGGCTTTTACTATATGCTAGGCATGATTTCAAATGCTGCAGGTGTATTAGTAGTTTTTTAATACTTACAGCAAACCTACAAAGTAATACTTTTATCTCCATTTTATAAATAAGTAGAAAGAGGTACAGACAAGTTAGGTAATTCATCTACCCTCACAAAGGGTATTGGCGCTAGTCAAACTGACCCCAGAGTCCATATACTTAAACACTATAGTATGAATATATTTAAATTTATCCAAAGAAAGCATTTAAATAGTTCCAAAGACTGATAGAAAATGCTATAAAAGCAGGTGATAAGAATATTAGGGAGTAACTCAGACTAAAAAAGCCCAGAGAAGTTAAGCTGCTTATCCGAGTTCACACAGTGAGTTACTGGCAGAGACAAAATGAAATCTGGGTCTCCGGAGGCTGGCCTATTGCTCTTTAAACTAGATCATGGCTGCCATGTGGTTCCTATGGAGTGACTGGTGAGAAAAAAAGAGATGAGAAACGTAAGTGAGTCTCATGTAACTGTAAGAAGTAATAAGGAACTCAGGCAAGGATGGATGTCAAGATACTGTAAGCAAATTCCCTAATAAAAACACCTCTAAGGATGAATTTTTTTTAACTCTGAAACTCGAAAAACCTAAATCCATGGACCCAAGTAAAAACATGGGCAAAGTGTGAATGGACAGAACCTAAAATTTAATAGCAAACTCTTTTTTCAGTACTTACCACATGCTGGAGTTGTGTTAACACTTGACCTGATATAATCCTCACAACAGACCTATCGTCATTACTATTAGCCTCATTTTAAAGAGACAGGAACAGTCTACGAGAAACTGAATAAATTTCCTAAGGTCACAGAGAGGGTAAGAGGTAGCACTGGGATGCATATTCCAAACAAATGAATTTTTCAGGTAATAGAAGCTCATTCCTTGAAGCCCTAAAACCATTTTGGATTTCAGCACCCTTATATGCAGTATATACTTTCCTGCCTTCCAAGAAAAAGAACTGCAATATATTTTAATTTTTCACTTGGTTCCCAAAGTCATCAGTATGTGTGTCCCTATGCACCAGCTTCCTTCAAAATGGTTGTAAAGAGGCAATTATCATACAACAATGCCATACTGAGGCAGGTATACCTAGTGTCTGACAATAAATGGTCTCTTAAATACTGTTTTCTTAGTCCCTTTGCCTGCTATTATAGTTTTCCCACTTTTCCTCATCAAAACACGGCAGCTATGATGTCTTGCAGTTATATGCCTTCATCACCCTCATCGCTTGCTGCTATGGACTGGGAGACCACATAATGGTCATGTTAGAATTTGGCAAAAATTCAGAGCTGTTAAAATTTGAGTGAGGAGCAGAAATACTGTACCACAAGCAAAGTTCCTGAGCAGAAGTGAAGCCATGTGGTTTCCTTTTACTGGTCAAACCCCCTTCTTTAGCTGTATTCCTGATTATGTAAATGCTAAACAAATACTGGGGGCAGGGCTGGGGCTGGAGATGGCAATGTAACATTACCTTGTAAGGGTAGATTTATCAGGGTGAATTTTAAAAAGCACCATTTTTAAAGAAAAAATAATAAAATATTCTAATAGAATCATATTCTAAAAATTCAAATGCTGCTTTTAATCTTTATTAAATATTAGAGAGGTGATATGGTGAGATATAAGAACCTGGACTTTAGATCTGGAAATACTTAAGTTTTACTCTTTCTCCACTCCTTTCTGACAATTGACTTTGGACAAGTTACTTAATTTTCTCTGAGCCTCCATTTTTTATTTTCATATCTTAAATTGTGGAGAATGATAAAACTTATAAACTATGTAAAGTACCTGACACATAACAGTTAGTTTTAAAATCTCATATAATAGAGTGGAGATCATATTTTTATTACTTGAACTTAAAATACACTTAGTCTCAAAGTTACTTTCATGGTCTAGAATTTATAACTCATAATTATATTGCAGAAAATTTAAAGAATTCATGTTGTCATCTCAGAAACTCTGAGGCTAGCAGAGTTTTATCTTCAGAGTTTTTGTATGGCTTAAATTTACCAGTCATCATTTGAGCCAGATGGCTTGAATTCAGTAGTTTCTTGCTAAGTATCAGTTGGAAGGATGGATGGATGGAGGGATGGATGGAAAGAAATACCAACACTTGGACACAAAGTTAGTATTTAAAGAGGATGGATTTTCAGTTGAATACATATGTGTACTTGCTATTTTATCGAGATTGGAAGCATCATTTAATACAAGATTGATTTAGCAATACCTACCTGCACTTGAGCTTTACGTTTGAAGAGACCTCAGAAACATGGGACTGGAAGAAAGAGGAGCGAAACCAGGTAGGGTAAGAATGGTGATGGGAATAGCACAGCATCTGGCCCAGCTACAGAGGCTGGCCCAGGGAAAGGCAGCTGTCTAGACTTAGAATCCAAGGAGTCCAGAAAACTCAGCACAATTCCTGGGTGAGCTGGTCTGACAGAGTGCACATGAATAGCAAATTGAAAAAGGAGGAGAGTAAGAACTCTCGGGAAATGGAAGAGGACAATAATGGCAGTGCTGGGAGCTCTATCCATTCCCTTTAGAGTTGGGGCCTGCAGTCTGATACACCAGGATGATGCCCTAACCCCCAGGGAAAGAGACTGAATGCAACCAAGCAGGTTGATGTTTGGGGCCAGAGGGCCAAAGGAAATGGACAGAGAGATTTGGCTGACAGAAGAGTGGGAGGTAAGGTGGAAGTCCAGGAAAAGGAAGGTGCCAGACCAGATAAAAGCAAAAGAATAGCAAAAAGTACAACTCCAGCAGTGTGGTGACAAAACAGTGTCCCTTCCAAATCTAACTGTTAAGACTCAAGAAAGCAACATGGCCCAGCGCCCTTGCCTGGGTCCTGGATCCCAGGTCCAAGAGTGGGACTCATTTTCAAGTCCTTCTGAATAGTGAAAATGAGGCTATATTTCTGCCTCACTCAGGATGAGCTTTAGAATCAGGACATAGCTGATGCTGGGTAGTGACAATCAACTAATGAGAAACTGGGAAGGCAGAAGCAAGAGAAGCAATGCTGATATTATGTTTCTGAGGTAAATATACTTTGAAAACTTCCTTGTGGGCATGAACCAAGTTTTCTTTATCTACTCATACCTTATAACACAGCCTTGCATAGGGAGGTGGGCACTATAGTTAATCCTAAGCAACAGTTAAATCTATACTCATGGGTACAAAATAAGTACATCAGTACTATCTGTTACAAGCACCACCTACCTTTTTTTTCCTGTGTATCTGTAGACAAGGACATCCTGCCACATCCCCTTTGCTACTCAAAATTATTTTCATAGCTTCTGACTTTATCTGGGCCCACATTGCTTTTCAAAGGGAAGTGTTAATTACTTCACAGGATTTATCTGTTTATCTGAAACTCTCTTATCAAAGGTATTTTGACCCATATAGATTAGAGCTCTGAGCTTCTGAATAATTTTCTCTTCATAGTAGTGCTAAATTTAATTAAACAAACATTTGTTTAGCAACTGCCTGTGGAGATTAGATGAAAGGATGCAAAGGAATGGCAGGCATATGGAGCAAATATGATTAAGACAAGGTCCCTGTCCTCAAGAAGCTTTAAAACTAGTCAAGAAGCAAGTACAAATAATGAAGTATGCTAAAGCTGAATGAAACAAATACTGTAATGAAAATGCAAAGAACATGGAAGCAATTAATTCCTTCTCAAACTGTGTATATTTATAATCTCAATATCACCTCCCTTGTGCATATCCTGGGCCCTCCAACAAATTGCACTTATTCTCTTCTCTAGTATTTATTCCAACCTATTTATTCTCTTTAGTATTTATTCCAACCTATGAAGGGACTTTCTTAGGCTTTCTACCATCTTAGTTACATGTTCCCCACCCTCCAAGTAGACTGAAAGCTGATGGATGACTTTTGTGACCCTGGCACAGATTCTTGGACATAGAGTACATTTAATCTCCATTTCTTGAATTGAACATAAACACACACACACATACACACACACACACACATGCACACACGGACAAACACACACAATTAATGCCCATTGTTTCAGGAGCTAATAATTATTCTTAATACTTGGATTCCAAAAGATACCCCCGCAAGTATCCATGATTAAAATGTTGAATTAGAGATGGTTCATCTCCCACTAGTTTCAAAACAACTCTCTTAGCTATTTTTACTAAAGAAAGTTACAAAATCATGATTCAATTTCCTGATGTAGGAACATAAATACTTTACAGGGAAAAATCTAAATACATCACTACTTTAATACCCACAATGTATAATATCTATAAAATGAAATGTTAGCTCTATCTAGGCATAAAAAATATTCAAAAACATAATCAAATAACAAAAACTCACTCTTTGCAGAAGACAGTAACTATAGTCACTTGGTTACTGCTTTAATGCATTTACTGCTTAAATGCATTAAAAGAAAGGACAACAATGTACAGCATCTGTATTAATTTAAAAGAATTCAAATCTTGAAATTGGGGCCAAATCCAGAATGTGAAACACTGAAATCAATAAATGCATAATTTTCACCTATGTATACTCCTCTAAATCACAGAATACAGATGATTTTTGAAGTAAATGTTCCATTATAAAAAGACCTTGTCTGATGCTTACCAATGTAAACCTCTTTTCCAGGCCACACCTTTCACTGGGAATCCAAGGGCTGGCATTCAGTGTCCACATCCAGAGTTCTTGGATCTCCAATCTTTGCAAGTTATTCCTCAAAGAGTTTGATAAACAAGGATGGGTGGATAAGTTACTTTCCCCTAATGAGACTATGGCAGGGCTAGAGGCCCTAATAAACATGTGTTGGAGGAAGGAAGGAAGGAGGGAAGGAAGGAAGGAAGGAAAGAAGGAAGGAAGGAAAGAAGGAAGGAAGGAAAGAAGAAAGGGAGGATGGATTTCATTTTATCTGATGAATTTAAAATTTTAAAGTCTCCAGAAGTTCTCCTAACAGCATACAGCAAATGGAGAAGCATAATTGAAGAAAAATCTAATAAATTTTGATAAGAATAAGAAGAATCAGTGGCATTTGAGTCACAGCATGCTCATACACTCTACAACCCAACTCAGTGCAACGGAAGCTCTATTCTGGGCAGTTACAGCCAGGAAGATGGGGCAAGAAGGGAAGAAAGGAGAGACTGAGGGAGTTTAACAGTTATTATGTGTCAACTTGACTGGACCACAAGGTACCCCAGATATTTGATAAGCATTATTCTGGGTGTTTCTGTAAGGGTGTTTTTGGATGAGATGAACATTTAAATCAGTAGACTGAGAAAAAAAGATTGCCCTCCCTAATGTGGTGGACTTCATCCAATCAGTTGAAGGCTTGAATAGAAAAAAAAGGCTGACCCTCCTCCAAGTAAAGAAAGATAAAGTATTTTATATAGTATAGTGAATTTGAGAGTTACTCTTGCTTAGTTAAGCAACATTTCAATAATGGGAATACAATTTTCACCTTTGTTAAACTTGGTCTTAAAGTTATAATTTATTTTATGTTAACACACCTATCCTTTGTCATTGATTTTAAGAATTAGACTTGATTTAATTCTGCACCATTAAAAATCTTCTATACTCTGGTTCTAAATTAAAACTAAGTTCTGTTTAAAACTGTTGGTCCCCTATTAAGCACTCAATAGTGCCCCACCAAAAGGAAGAACTCAGGTAAGGTGGATCCTTGGAAATGGGGCATTCATCTTCTACTCAGTCCTGGAAAGATCCCCATCTCTGCTGCTGCCTAGAGCACATTGTCTCCTGAGATCAACTTGGAGATCTTCTGGAATATACTCGTGAGATATACGTCTCCCACCTCAGAGAAACATGCAGTAGTAGGAGGTCCCATGGTCCCCCTCCACAAAACTCACATTTACACACCAACGAGAAAGCAAGGATTGGATGCTGCCACATAGAGAGCACAAAATGGCCATCTGCTTTAGTTTGTTAAGCTGAAAGAATTTATTAAAAGATAATGTAACCACACAGTTACACTAAAAAATATTCATTTATTTATTCCCTTAATCCCTTCTTCCAGACCTAGAAAAGGAAATGGAAGGAGGTATGCAAAAGCAGATTCCATACAACCTCCCCACTTGAGGTCTTTTAAGTTACAATTGAATCTGAAAGGAAGGGCACATGGTGGGGGTGATGAGAAGATGGAGATGAGATTAAAATCAAATTTGAGGAGTACCACTTCTACAATGATGGTGTGAGAGTCTCCAAGAATCTTCCCCCCAGCAAAACAACCATAACTGGTGAAATTTATTTTTTAAATAATTTGAAGTCTCTGGAAATTATCATAATGGCATACAACAAGTGGAGAAACATTTATTTAAGAAAATCTAATAAATCTTGATAGGAAAAGCAAGAGTCTGTGGCATTTGAACCATGACCCACTCCTTCACCCGACACTCCAGCTCATTTCAATGGAAGTTAAATCATGGAAAGAGCAACCATAAGAGAGCTAGAATAGCTATTCTAATATTAGACAAAACAGACTTTAAAACAAAAATATGTTACTAGAAATAATGATGATCATTTAATAATAATAAATGGATCAACCCATCAGTAAGATATAACACTTACATGCATATATGCACCTAACAACAGAGTCTCCACAATACAAAAGCAAAAACTGACAGATTGAAGGGAGAAACAGACAATTCAACAGTACTGGTTGGAACCTTCAGTGTCTCACTTTCAAAAATGGATAGAACAACCAAGCAGGAGATCAACAAGTACATGAAGACTTGAATGACACTAAATCAACTAAACCTAACAACATGCTATACAACAGTCCACCCCATAAAAGCACAATACACATTCTTCTCAAGCACACATGGATCATTCACAAAGAGAGACCATGCGGTAGACCATTAAAAAACCTCAATAGAAATGGAAAGGCTGAAAGTATACAAAGAATGCTCTCCAACCACAATGGGATGAAGTGAGAACTCAATGACAGAAGGAAATTTAATAAATTCACAAGTATGTGGAAATTAAATAATATACTTCAAAATTACCAATAGGTCAAGAAGTAAATCACAAGGAAAATTAGAAAATACTTTGTGATGATGAAAACAAAAACCATAATATAGCAAACTTTATGGGATTCAATTAAAGCAGTACTTGGGAAAATGTATCAACTAAAGAAGCATTTGGAAGGAAATTATAATAAATGCTTATAGTTTTAAAAAAGAAAGATCTCGGGCTTCCCTGGTGGCGCAGTGGTTGAAAGTCGACCTGCCAATGCAGGGGACACGGGTTCGTGCCCCGGTCCGGGAGGACCCCACATGCCGTGGAGCGGCTGGGCCCGTGAGCCATGGTCGCTGAGCCTGCGCATCCGGAGCCTGTGCTCCGCAAAGGGAGAGGCCACAGCAGTGAGAGGCCCGTGTACTACAAAAAAAAAAAAAAAAAAAAAAAGAAAGATCTCAAGTCAATAATCTAACCATCTACGTTAGGACACTGAAAAAAGAAGAGTGAACTAAATCTAAATCAAGCAGAAGAAAGGAAGTAATAAAGACTAGAGCAGAAATAAAAGAAATAGAGAATAGAAAAACAATAGTGAAAATCAACAGAATGAAAAATTGATTCTTTGAAAGATCAACAAAATTGACAAACATTTAGCCAGACTGATCAAGAAAAAGAAAAAAGGCTTAAATTACTAGACTCAGAAATGAAAGAAGGGACATCACTACCAAGCTTACAAAATAAAATAGGTTTTAAGGGAATACTATGGAAAAACTGTATGCAATGAATTAGATAACTTAGATAAAATAAACAGATTCCTAGAGAGATGCAAACTACCAAAATGGACTCAAGAAGAAATGGAAAATATGAATAGACCTATAACAAACAGGGAGACTGAATTAGCAATTTTAAACTTCCCACAAAGAAAAACCCAGGATCAGATGCCTTCACAAATAAATTGTATCTAATATTTTAAAAAGAAATAATAGCAATGTTTTAGAAATGCTTGAAAAAAACAGAAGAGAACACTTCCTAATTCATTCTATGGGGTTATTACCCTAATACCAAAACCAGACACAGATATCATAAAAGAACACTATAGAAAAATATCTCTTATAAATATAGATGCAAAAAGCTCCAACAAAATACTATCAAACCAATCTAGACATATAAAAAGTATTATACAACATGATCAAGTAAGGTTTATTTTGGTAATGCAAGGTTGATTAACATCAGAAAATTAATTAATGTAATCACCATATTTATAAAATAAAGGAAAAACCCACATGGTCATCTCAGTAGACACAGAAAAACAGTTGACAAAATCCAACACATTTTCATGATTTAAAAAAAAAAAAACAAAACACTTAAATACCATAATGTGAAAGACCAATGCCTTCCTCCTAAGATCAAAAACAAGACAAAGATGTTCATTCTCATAACCCCTATTTAATTTTGTACTAGAAGTTCTAGCCAGGACACTTAGGCAGGAAAGAGAAAATAACAGCATCAAGATTAGAAAGAAAAAGTAAAAATATCTCTATTTGTAGATGACATAGTCTTTTATGTAGAAAATCCTAATAAATCCACTAAAAAACTATTAGAACTAATAAACAAGTTTAGTAGAGTTGCAGGACACAGATCAATATAAAAAACAAACTGTTTCTATAAATAAGCTATGAATAATCTGAAAATAAAGTTGAGAAAACATTTCCATTTTAAAGAACAAAGCACTTACAAAAAAATTTAACAAAAGAAATACAAAACTTGTACCCTCAAAAACACAAAACATGTTAAAGAAAGGGAAGATCTAAATAAATGGAAAGATATCCCATGTTCACAGATTGGAAGACAATATTAAGATGGCTACTCCCCAAACTGATCTACAAATTCACTGCAATCCCTAGAAATATCTGATCTGGATTTCTTGCAGAAATTGACAAGTTTATGCTAAAATTCACATGAAAATACACAGGACCTAGAGCAGTCAAAGCAATTCTGAAAAAGAATAAAATTGGCAGACTCACTTTTCCCAGTTTCAAAACCTGCTACGAAGTACTGGTATAAAGACAGACATATAGGTTAATGAAATAGAATTGAGAGTGTGAAATAAACTTTTACATTTATTATGGTCAACTGATTTCTGACAAGGAAGCCAAGACAACTCAATGGGAAAAGAATAGACTTTTCAACAAGTGGTGCTGGAACAACTGGATATCCACATGCAAAAGAATGAAGTTGAACTACTTTCTTATACTGTACACAAAAATTAACTAAAAATGGATGATAACCCTACATACAGCAGCTGAAACTATGAAACACTTAGAAGAAAACATAGGAGTAAAACTTTGTGACCTTGGGTTAAACAAAATCTTCTTAGATACAATGAAAAGTACACGTGAAAGCACAAGTGAAGTGTACTTTTGTTTGTGATAAAGAACACTTGATATGAAACCTACCCTCTTAAACAAATTTTCAAGTGTACAACACAGCATTGTTTACTATGGGTACTATGTTGTACAGCAGACTTCCAGAACTTATTCATCGTATATAACTGTGTAATTGAACAATAACTCCCCATTCCCCCGTCCCTTCAACCCCTGGCAACCACCTTTCTATTCTCTGCTTCTATGAATTTGAATATTTTAGGTACCTTATATAAATGGAATTATGCAGTATTTATCTTTCTATGCCTGGCATATTTCACCTAGCATAATGTCATCCAGGTTCTTCGGTGTTGTCACAAATGG